GGTACCGCTTTTAACAGCAGGTGATTGCTACCCCATTACTCCCTGTTTCTATAACAGCAGTAGAAGAATTTGGGGGAGGAGCAGGAAACTGTCACAAGTGGCATGAACCACATTAACAAAGCAGATAAAACATTTTCAGAGTAAAATAGAAACTAGCACAGATTCTGTGGTTAAATAACAAATGGATTGCAACAGTCTTCAGTAAAAAGAACTGCTGCAGATCCCTGCCAGATTAAAACTGAGGTATGGGATGTGTACTGTAATCAGACAGTTTACATGCCTCTCTCTGCCCCTTCAGTGAGCACACTACATGGGCATGGGCATAGCCTCCATATAGGTAGGGGAAGCTCCAGTCTCTACCAATATGCCCAGCTGTGTACAATATGCAAATGCAGGGTATTAGCCTTCCTTCTCCCTCTGGCTTTCAGCTGAGAGGGGGCTGGACAAAGGGAGGCAGGGCAAGCAGCTCTAGCTCTTCTGCTCTCTACATTGTGTCTTCGACAGACACAACGTGGAACATAAAATGGAGCAAATCGCTTATAATTAACAAAATGGCTTCTGCAGAATCTGCTCCATTTTTTTTTACTTCCTCCCCCATTTTTAGCATAAAATATTATAAAAATATTGTATTAATTTTCAAAAAATACAAAAATACAATAGTTACAATAAAATACAATTACCACCATTGTTTTTAAAGGTTAGTATTATTTGTAAGAATCAGATTTAGTAAGCACTCATATTAGCCTTGTTCAGCACAGGAATTTTGTGGCGGATGTAATAAAGGATTTCAGAATGTTGACTTAAAAAAGCATAAAGATTCACTTCAAATGTCCAAACAAGTACAGGTGGATTACAAAAACTGTCAAAAAACAGGAATAAACTTTTTACATTATTGGATAATTAAAATGAATCTACATTCTTTTTTAATAATGAAGATTCTCAACTCTAGTAAATCAGACTCGTTTTCTTTGCATGCCCATAAAAGTTATGAGGCCCAAAACTTCTGTAGTTGGTATATTGCAGTCTAGATTTATTTTGTGCATTCATTTTTTGTGCACCAATGTTATATAACCTCTTGGATAAAGGGTACTGTATGGATAGAGAGGATACCACTACTTATTGGGTTTAGGATTATGGTTAGTTGGGTAATGTTAGGATTAAATATTTTGTATTAGGTCTTTGTTAATGAATATTTCCATGCTGAAGCTTCGTATAGTGTAAGTGTCAGTACTACAATCATATAGGTGTTAAAAATTCCCTTGTACTATTTATTGCAAACCAAAATTGAATGTACAGAAACGTTTGCACCAATGCTCTTTCCATATAAATAACCACCATTTTCAGAAACTGAAAATCAGCATACCCCTTAACACTTACTTTCCTATTTATCCATTTTTAGGATGTGATCTATAATTGCTCAAATTTATGGAAACAATTTCTGCCCCATATGCTGAACACACTTAGTTTCAATATAAAAACATAGAGATTGTTTTTTTTTTTCTTTTTCATATGGAAAACTAAATCCTTGGAAATTTGTGTGCATTTTATAGAAAGCAGGGCTGTAACATGTAGTGCTGGTATTTAATGGGATATGTAAAATATCAAATGTGAAATCTCATATATTTCCTTCTGAAACCTGACCACAAGCCTGGAGACTTCAACATGCACAATCTGGAATTGACTGCCAATTGTTCTAAATTGTTCTAAAGTCTTCATAATTGTAATACAAAAGAAGAATCCAATGGCCAACAGCACAGGATTCTTTCACAGCCCCATATTAAACATAAGGGTGGGAAGCTTAGCTCACCAGTCTGTACAAATTTGCACTGATATGAAGAACTCTAAAAGGAATTAGAGAGTTTTTTTTTTTTTTTAATGAACAGTCAGCTTAGATTGACTTGACAACTAGACTAGACAACTGACTAGATAATGCTTACATTTGTGGCTACTAAGAAATTGCTATGTTCTTAGAATGGTTCTAACATTATAGCATGATAAGTAAGTTAATCACAAGACATACAAAAGTTGATATTTAAAAAGTGTATATTTAAAGTTACTGATTTGTTATTGACTTTCAAACCAGTTTTGTTATTAAATTTCCTTTTGTATATGTTTATTGAAATGTGTAGGGTTTTTCAAAACAGAGCAAGAAATCTGTATGTAGAGTCATAAGCATTAAAAAAAAGCACATAGGACAAGAACACGTAGGATAACTTTACTTGTAGTACAATCACCCTTTAAATGCTTCCCTCACCCACAGCAACAACCCTCCCCGGAGACTTGATGGCACTGTAGTGCCCAGCAGGCACCACACATCTCAAAGGAACAAGGACAGGTAAATACAAGACTTGGAGGGTTTGCTGGAAGTTCTGGGGGAAGGGGACATTTAAAAAATAACTGAACAGTTTGTCTAATAGAAAAAGGTGAGAGAGGAAGTACCTTTACTGTGCAGAGAAGAGTCTAATAACAGAAGCAAGGTACGTGTCATGGGCTGCAAAGTAATCCAGCAGTTTTACCACAAAGCGGGCAGAACTGTTATTGTTTGCTTTTAAAGAAGTAATAATTTCAGTAAACAGTTTATATTTTTTAGATATAAACTGTTTCAAATGTGTGGGACTCCTTTACTCCATTCACACTATGAAGAGGACCTGTCTAAAAGTGAAACTGTGATCAGTTACAAAGGGAATGAGAGAGACCTAAAAGAGAAAGTTATGCAAAACAATAAAATAAATAAGCGGAGGGCATGCGATGACTAGGTGAATAGGGGAGACAAAATGCAAAAAAAGGGTTAATGGGGGTCCGGTTTCAGGACATAGGTCACTTACCTGATTGGCCAGGTCAAAAGGTTAGGTGGAGCTTTACTGGTGGTCTGAGTGGGAGGGGTTCTCTCTTCATCAGTTGGTGACTGTCAGATGAGGAGTGAACTTCCCTCTCACCCACCCCCTTTCTGTTGTAGAACTATGCAAGGTTTTTTTTATGCTGGTATGGGATGTTTGGGTTCTTTTCAAAAATAGGTGCTGGTGATTAATGTTTGGGGACCTGTCTTGGTATGGTGTCCTATATTCATGGTGTGTAAGCTGATGAACACTAAGGGGTCTATTCACAAAGCTGCCGAAGGATCTAGCCGTAGCTTTGGCCGATCCTTTGGCTAGCTTCGGCCCCAGGACCCCTTTGGTTCAGTAGAACGCATATGCATCGGCTCGGCTGAGCCGTGCTGAAAGCCGACAGCCTGCTTCTGACAGCTGGGCGGAGCCAGCCATGATCTTACTGCTGGCTCAGGCCACTTGCAGAGAGATCAGCATCCCTGGTTACCTGCTGCTAACCAGGGGCACTGTTCTCCAAACAGCTAACTCTCCCTGGCGGAGTCTCCTGCTCCCGGCCGCCAAGGAGAGAAACACTGCTGTTTCTTTTTTTTCTTTATTCTGCCACGGAGCGATGTCAGAATATAAAAAAAACCGGGAGCGGGAGGCTCCCAGAGCGCTCGGGAGAGTTTTTTTTTTCTTTTTTGACGGCAGCAGAGCCGCAGGACAATAGGAAACTATTGGGCGGAGCTAGCTGTCACTGCTAGCTCTGCACAATCATTTTCTATTTACTTTTTTAAAACTTTTAAAACTATTTTTCTGTTCTGCTCAGTCCCTCCGAGCAGAAGAGCCGAGCCGAATGCCGCTCAGCGGTATTCGGCTATTCACTCACTGCTGTTCGACATCTATAAGAATAGGCCGAACAGCAGTGAGTAGCCTGCCGGAGGTTCGGCTCAGCCGATCCATATGTTGGATCGGCTGAGTCGAACTCCTTCTGCACTTCGGGTCGGCCGAACATGCTGAGCATGTTCGGCCAACCTGAAGCCATGTAAAGCAAGCCGATGTACGGCTGAAATCAGCCATACCAGCCTGAAGTGAAAAGCCGAACAGTGTTCGGCTCACTTCACTTCAGGTCGGTCATTCACTCAGCTGCCTAAAGCAGCTGAGTGAATAGACCCCTAAATTTGGATATTGGAAGTGTCTGCGGTCAGTTAGTGGTTGTCCCCGAGGCAGTGTGTTGCGGCTGGGGGCCTAACATGTTTTAGTACTGCCGCAGAGAATGGATTCAGAAAAGGTGTGGACTTCAAAGACCTGCAACCTTTTTTATGTGATTCTTGCTGATGTTGAAGTAGTTTCTATAGTTATGTTGTATATTAAGTTATTTAATAAAAAGCCACTACAACCAATTAAAACCATATTGAAGTGTGGTATGTTTATTACTTTACAGGGACTGGGCGGTTGGTTATTCTTAGCGGTCTATATTAGGAAATGATTGGGGACATCTATTCTATCTTACTCAAGAGATAGGATACATAGACTGTTGAGTTCTGTAATGAATGCAACAAGGTCAGAGGAATTTGGGGTAAACTCTACCAGATCACGCGACTTTCTTTGATGGGAATTGATAGTCCTTCCCAGTCTCTCTAATAGTCTCTTTGAGAGGGATGGGAAGTTCTGTGTTGCATAGATTCTGGATATACAGTATATGTAATTGGATCAGCGTTAGGACTTACTCCTGGTTATGCCCTTTCCTATGATTTGCAGTGCTGGGGCAGTGTACTCCTGATGGGGCCCTGTTTGTTGTTAAAGTTAGCAGAAGGTCAGTAGGTGGGTTCCAGATCACAGAGGTCATTTGGTCGACTCGAGAGCCTGTGCCTCAGGTAGTGATTGGGAGCTGTCAGTGACAGTGCAGTCACAGTGCAGGGAGTATCGAGATGCATTGCCAGCTCTAAACTGCGATGCCAGCTGTACACATATATGTGGCAGCCCTGCATTAAAGCCCACAACTGTGCTGCCACATATAGGTGAACAGCTGGCAGGAAGGGATTCATTTATCCTGTGTCGAAGTGATGTGTCTGCTGCTTACTACCCTGTACATCTGTGACAAAAATATGGTGCATGAAGACGTGTTTGGTTCAGTCTATGTACTATGTATCATATATGAGTATAAGGGCATTATATAATAATTACCAATATTACCTTCATTAATGACAGCATGCCAGCGATGTTTATGGTTAGGGTAGGAGGACCGGAAGCTGAAGGTCTGACATTGCCAGTCTCTAAAATCAGGGACTCCAGGAGGACATCTTGAGTTATCACATATTTTATATTGGAGTTTAGGATCATTGCATTGACGTCCTTCAGTGCTCTGGCTGGAGGAAAGAGGAAAGATCGGGTGGAAAATGCCTTTAAATATGCAGCACAAGTATAGTGCATAAACACAGTAAAGATTAAAGGGGGATGCCTTCCAGACTTGTCCCCTAGTGCATTACCCGGACCCCCATACACATTTTATGGCCAATAACTTGCATATAAGCTCTCTTAAAGGAGAACTATGAGGTGAGTGCTTTTCACTCACCTCATAGTTCTAGCCAACCTGTGACAATGAAACTCTGTCACAGGTCGGCTCAGTAGATCGGGAAGTGAGCGAACACATATCAGCGTTCGCTCACTTCACGATCCTGTCTTGGCTCTCTGCTGTGACAGGGGAGGGGCTGGATTCCCCCCTCCCCACTCCGATCCTCCAGCGCTGACTGGCGGAACGGATGGGGGAGGGGCGGGTACAGCTGGCTCTGCCTCTAAATAGGCAGAGCCAGCTGTCACTCACGCAGCTGGGCGGATCCAGACATAATTGTCGGGATCCGCTTCAGCTGCGGCTTCTCAGTATACCACGAGCTGTAGCTCGCGGTATACTGAGCTTAGGGTGACGGGAGGACGCTAGTTTGTGTCCTCCCGTTACCCTAAGGAGAACTATGGGGAAAAGCCTTAACCCCATAGTTATCCTTTAAAGGGGACAATCATTTTTGAAAGTTCTACCCCTATTGACTTGCATTAAGTATGAGTTCGAACTTTTCAGACGTTCGAATACGAACCGAACTCGAGCCTGTTCGGCCCATCACTACTCCTAATGAAGAATATAATGGAGGCAGGTAAACCATACTACATTTATTATCAGCCACCCTAGGCATATGTGCAGAAAGCACTCTAGAAGGGATAACCAGACTTTCAGCTCTTAGCAGAACCCTTCAGCCGAATAGGGGTAGAGGTCATAAGAACAGCAAATGCCCAGCAATCCTTGTTATACTTTCACCGGATTTAAAACCAAAGTCTTAGCCAGAAGTTCACTTTAACGGTACAAAGATATATGTCAAATGTATTTACCTTAGACATTTACGTTGTCTACTTCGAACTCCCGTGCCACACGTTCTGCTGCATGTGCTCCAAGAACTCCATTCTCCAGATAGGTGTTCAGAGGATGAAGTCATGCTGGTGCATTCCCCAACTCTACACCACTGTGAAGAGATATACTATTACAGGGGCTTTTAGCAGAAGAGAAGCAGAACATGCAGAAGTAAAAGCCAAATCGAAACAAACCCAGAACCCCTAATTGAAAGGACTCAGGTTTCAAGATTTAAAAATGTATTAATGATTGATGAATTTCTAATTAACTTGCTTCTATGATGAGGCACAATCACAAAGTGAATTTTTGCACAAAAGCTGCCTTTTATCCTCAGTATGGATACAAAGTCAGCTTAGAAAGTCAGAAGCAGCTCAAAAGAAAGGCAAAAGCAAAAAAAATAAAATAAATACAGACACATCTAAAATGTTTAAATATATAATTATTTTTTTCTTTTTCGACTTTTGGCACAATAAGGTAAGTAATTATTTTCAACAATCATAAAGATTTCATATTGAAAGTATAAAAAAGAAATATTAAACGAACAACTCATTTACATCTCAGCAGTGCATTAACACATGTTAAGTCATGTGTTAATGTGCATTGCAGTAAGGCAGCCCATTGAAATTAATTGGGTGCCAATGCAAAGATCCTGAACCCAGAATCCTGTTTGGAACCTTGTTTACCTGTGAGTCCTGAATCCTGCCCAGCTCCTGGTCTCTGACGATCCTGTGCCTGCTGCCCAGCTCCTGGTTTCTGACGATCCTGTGCCTGCTGCCCAGCTCCTGGTCTCTGACGATCCTGTGCCTGCTGCACAGCTCCTGGTCTCTGACGATACTGTGCCTGCTGCCCAGCTCCTGGTCTCTGACAATCCTGTGCCTGCTGCCCAGCTCCTGGTCTCTGACGATCCTGTGCCTGATGCCCAGTTCCTGGTCTCTGACGATCCTGTGCCTGCTGCCCAGCTCCTGGTCTCTGACGATCCTGTGCCTGCTGCCCAGCTCCTGGTTTCTGATGATCCTGTGCCTGCTGCCAAGCTCTTCGCCTCCGGTGATTTGGGGCCTGCTGCCAAACTCCTCATCTCTGCCGATCCGGTGCCCGAGGTCCAGCTCCTCGACTCTGCCAATCTGGTGCCCGAGGTCCAGCTCATCGCCTCTGGCGATCCGGTGCCCGAGGTCCAGCTCATCGCCTCTGCCGATCCGGTGCCCGAGGTCCAGCTTATCTCCTCTGCCGATCCGATGCCCGAGGTCCAGCTCGTCACCTCCGCTGATTCTGGGCCTGCTGCCCGACTCCTCATCTCTGCTGATCCGGTGCCTGCTGCCCAGCTCTTTGCCTCTGCTGATCCGGTGCCTGCTTTCCAGCTCTTCGCCTTTGCCGATCCGGTGCCTGCTGCCCAGCTCTTCGCCTCCGCTGATCCGGGGCCTGCTGCCCGACTCCTCATCTCTGATGATCCAGTGCCTGCTGCCCAGCTCTTTGCCTCTGTTGATCCGGTGCCTGCTGCCCGGCTCTTCGCCTTTTACCGATCCGGTGCTTGCTGCCCAGCTCTTCGCCTCCGCTGATCCGGGGCCTGCTGCCCGACTCCTCAGTGTTGGGGGGTGTACGCCGCGGACACCTGGTGCCCATTGCCTTCCTGTTGGGATTCCCGCTGGCTTGTGGAGGTTGCTGTCGGATTCTGGTGGCGGACTACTCAGCCTGTTGCCTGACCCTGGTGGGGGGTGCTCGACCGAACCCTGGACTTTGGCCGTGGTACGGATGGTGGACTTGGCGGCCCCATGGACCTTCGGTGCCCTTGGACCTTGCTGTCACTGATGGACTTTTGTGGAGCGTCCGGAGCCCGCTCCTTAAGGGGGGGTTCTGTTAGGATCCAGAGCGCCTCCAGGTGGCGCTGGAGCTAGCCCTGCAGTTCCAGTGCTCACCTGCGGGTGTCTCCCAGCAGTTAGCCATCACCTGGTGCTTCCTGGGAGGGTATTTAAACCCTCCCTGCAGTCAGGACGATGGCTCAGTGTTGTTTCCTGTTTGTCCTGAACCCAGAATCCTGTTTTGAACCTTGTTTACCTGTGAGTCCTGAATCGTGTTCTGAACCTTGTTACCTGTGAGTCCTGAACCCTGTTTGAAGTCCTGTTTCATGTGTCTTTTGTTTGCTGTCCTGAGCCTTGTTGTTGGTCGTTGCTTTTAGTCTAAGTTGTATATTAAACAAACTATACAAATCTAACATCCTTGCCTGGTCCGTGTAACATACTTGCCTTGTCCGTGTGGTCACACGTGTTTGGTCTGCCTGTGTGGGTACCTGCGGAGGTGTGGGGTCACCTGTGCCGGTATCCCTGACAATTGCACTTTTGCAATGCAATGCAAAGTCCATCGATTAGTGGATATTATACCTTTCATACCCAGAATGTGGCTTCTGTCTATTAACACGTGGAGAACTCTTTGGCAAAAATGTTGGTCTGTGGAGCAACAATATAAGAAATGCTTGCTCCACATGCCCTTTGATGGAGAATGTATTTTTGGTGCTTACATGGACAATCTAAATAAAAATGTAATTAGTAGAAAAAGTATCCCTTTTTTCCACAACAAAATAAGCTTCAGCCTCAAAATGGCAAATTTCCATTTGCCTCTGATGGCAAAAAGAGTACCTTTAAGTCCAGGCCCAAATCTGGGATCCAGTTCCATCATAAATCCTAAACTTCCAAATCCTCTAAGACCACAGACAAGTCTTCTTTGCATTTAAGGGTTGTCCCAAATTTCCAAAGTGGAAAGTACAAAGTTACTAGGCACCTAGACCAAAACTATCTCTGATGCATGAGTAAAAGGCATGGTGTCCAGGAGGTGGAAGCTAGAATTTTAATCACTGCTTTAGCATCATATGGACTTGGACATCAAAGATGTGCACTTGCATGCCCCCACCTTTCCAGTATATTACCAATAACAGCTGTGGGCACACAACATTATCAATCTGTAGACCTTCCATTTGGTCTGTCTTCCATACCTTGAGTATGCACCAAAGTCCTAGCTCCAGTTTGTAGCTTGCTTCACCCACATAACATTGTCATTGTGGGATATCGATATGACTTCCTGCTAAGGGAAGAGTTGCACAGAGTCCATCAGACTATTTCAGCTGTTTAGACAGCTAATTGCAGACAGTAGGCTCCGTTGGATTCTGAACCTTCTGAGGCCAGGGTGGGACCAACACATTGCTTGGAGTATCTGGATCTAATTCTATATATGGCTTAATCCAGATTTTTACTTCCACAAGAGAAACTCCTAACCCTTTGCTCCCAGATTCAGACCCTGTCCAACTCTCTGCTTTTGCATAAAAGTCCTGGACTTGATAGTAGTCTCCTTTGAGGTTGTCTCATTTGCCCAATTCCACTTCAGACCATTTCAACTCAACATTCTGACTGCAAGGGACAAGAAGGTACAGGACCTACCAATTCGTTTACCACCCAGGACCAGGTTGTCCATGGCCTGGTTGCTCACGGATCTAGCTTGTCGGATGAACGGATGATCCGACATTTCCGGCGCAGAGACTGGGGGCCCGCTGGCCACTGGATACCGATCCGGTGCTATCCGGCGGCCGGCAAGTCCCACCAGCTATGCACAGGGACTGTGCTGGGCCCCCAGGCCGAGGCACCGGCTGTAGTTCCGCCACTGTATAACCCCCCCAATATATCTCTATATATATCTCTATATATATCTCTATATATATCTCTATATATATATCTCTATATATATAGAGATATATATCTCAACTCTACAATACAAAGGGGATTCACACAAAAGGTGCTCACAACCCTGCAGAGCAGGACGGGTTAACAACCAAAGTGACCTTGTCACTAAAAAGTAGCAGTTAGCCCCAAGACTTCCTAAGGAACAGCAGGTTTGTGCAGGCTGCAGAGCTTACAGCAGCATGGCTTAGGTTGTGTGTGCACTCTGATAAAGTGCCATGCCACAGTCTCAGCAAGGTGCTGATTTAAAGCATCACTAAAGACATAAAACAAAAATGTAATATTTGCTTCAACATGATATTTTAAATTCTCTCACCTTGCATCTTTAAATTTCTAAAGTCCATTTAGTCACTATAAACACCTTTGAATAGATGCGGAGAACCACATTTACATTTCCGGTATGTTTCAGGCCACATTTCCTTCTGTCGACTTAATATCTCCCGCTGCAGTCATACATGCAGAAGCACTGTGCTCAGAAACTAGTACACTGTTTATTTCACTACTCACTCCACCTCCTCCTCCCTAATGTCCTGCCCACATCCCCACTCATTCTACTTTGCCAACCTTCCTTACAGCCTGGAGCCCAACTGCATGTAGCATGTGGTGCAAGGCATTGTGGGCGATGACTGGATTGAGATGCTGTGGAAGCACAATATACAGCAGAAGCTGCTACTAAGAAGAGGCAGGGATATGAAGTGCTTTTAAAAGTAAGGAATTGTTTTGGAGCATAACCACAAAGGTTTTTTTTTTATTGTAGAAGGGACATATGGCCTTGATTTACCACCAGGCAAATAGGCTGTTCGCTTTGCAAGAAAAACGTGTTACGTCATCCCACCCAGGCCAATCAAGGCCGTAGTCTAGATCACAAAACCCGGAAGAAGCTGGCAAGGAAGACAGCGTCAGAGTCAGAGAGAGTGCAAATATTACATTGTTAGAGCAGAGGTGAGCAGAGTTTCCTTTAAGTAAAGTGGAGCTCATGGTTACTAAATGTTGCACATTAGCTGCACTCTTTGAACAATCATTTGGGCAGGCCAGATTGTCTATGAACCATTAACCAGGGATGATCTGAGTTACATCATATGGAAATGGCACAATGCTTGTACCAGGAACAGACATGGCAGACAAACCAACGTAAACATATTGGCTAAACGTTAGTCAGGACAACCCAAACAAATGCTTTGTTGTATTATTATTCTGTGTGAGTATTCATAAATTGATCAATTCCAGAACACAAACAGATATATACCTTTTCTGTGCTGCATTCTGTTCCATCCATCGGAGGATCCATTCTTGTTCTACACTCTCTTTCCCCCTCCAGCTTACACCAGAGTCCTGTACAAATGACATGCTAAAAAATATGTTAAAAATGGCAGGTACATATTTATGGTATATCTTTCATAAAGATAACACATGACAGATCTTTATAATAATGGAATGAGTATATTACAGAGGGTATCCTTTTCATGGTTAATTATAATCTATTGATTGTTACTGTGCTCCATGCAATATTATCACTGATAGTGCTTCAAAACAAAAGATCAATCAATCTATGTGTCCGTCCGTCTGTCTATCTATCTGTCTATCTATCTATCTATCTATCTATCTATCTATCTATCTATCTATCTATCTATCTATCTATCTATCTATCTATATATCTATCTATCTCACTGGAAGTATAACATTGTTAAAAAAGTGTTAAATAAATGCAATGTGGGTTTATGGCTAATGTATGTTGTTTTTTTTTTTTTACTTATCTAAAACTTAAGGTGGCCACACGCATTACGATTATCGTACGATAATCGTGTGTGATCAACTTTTCATCCGATAATCGCAAGGTATGTGGGCAGTGTGCAACCGCAAATACTGTACAATCGTACGACTTTTGACTTTCAAGCATGTTCGAAAACTTTGGGCGATCGTACGATTATTGCAAGGTTAGTGGCGTTTCCGTACGTCAAAAATCGTACGATTTACACTGCTCATGCGCAAACGAAAATACGTGCGGTTAATTACCGCAATTCGTCCAGGTGCTTTTCTTTAATTACGGCTAATTGAACCTTGCAATAATCTGGGCATAATGGGGCCACCGTACGACAATCATACGGCGGTTCGATCATCGGACGAAAAGTGTCGTCCGATAATCGTAAGGTGTTTGGTCACCTTTAGAAGTGACTTGGCTCATTATGTTACCCCCAAAATTCAAAGGGAGCCTGGAAAAATGATTGGCTCTGCAGCCCCACCTGCCCCACCTGCCCCACCTCTCTTTTATAACTTCATGCCACTGCCTCTACACTAATTGCACGGAAGTCACTGGAAGTCTAACAGATTGTTAAACATTTCTCTTGCTGATGTGGATGTTTAGGAAGCATTATTCTTTGAGTGCTACATGGTTATTATGGCTGCAATCATTTTAACAGATTAAAAACGCAATTTCTAAAGTGGACTTTTTTTATATTGATTGATCACAAAATATCCAGGTTAAGAATATATTTAAAGTGTATTAGATTAAAATAAATGCAATGTGGATATATGGCTAATGGCATTTGTTTTTTTTTTTTTTACTGAGAAGTGTCCTGGCTCATTATGTGCCCCCACAATTCAAAGGGTTAAAGCCTAGAAAAATTATTGGCTCTGCAGCACCACCTGCTGAACACAAACTGAACATCAAATGGGAAAATTGTTTAATTAATCATCGAGTAGGCAAAATGAAATATAAGTGGAGTAAGTATGTATTTATTATTAACTTGATGAATGCAGCTCTGACATGTTATCTAGTGCTTTTTGTCGTTAAGGAGCTTACAGTCTAATGTCCCTACCAAGTATTATTCATTTTTGCATTTGAATACTGCTAAAAGATAATGATCACTGCCTTTTTTTTGACAGAACAATGGCATAACATCTACCAATGCCACCATGTAATATCTGGCATTATTATATCTCGGTCTTAGTGACTTTTGAATGACCTTTATTTTTTTTCTATATTATAGAAGTTACTCAAAATGTTTATAACAGTTCTCTGCCAAGAAGACATGTACAATATTTGCAGCTGGAGTAAGTCAATCATATTTTGCGTACATAAAATCAATAAACAAGGAAAACAGCATCCAAAAATCCAAGCCACTATTAACAGCCAGGACACAGATACAAACAGATCAGCACTTTATCCTGAGAAAATGATGTTGAAATCCATATGGAGATTGTTATGAGTTTGAAAAATGATATCACTGTTTTTGCTAGAATACATCACATGATATATTGTATGCTTACAAATCTTCCTCGTATCTATGTTGGAGAGGCTTTCAAAGATATCTCCATCAAGCAATATTCAAAGAAGGACTTTTGTAGACCAAATCATACAAATCATACTATTAATTATAAGAATAACTAAAAAGCACATATTTCTGTTTATCGGAAATCTTTTTAACACTATTTGCTATAAAATAGGCTTTTTAGGCCTTTTTTATAGGCTCCAGAATTTGGCTCCAGATCAATTATGCAAATCAGTCTAACTTCACTGGCTTCATGCTTGTTATGTTGTTGACTCTAAATATGAAAGACAAAGGTTGTCAGACAGCTAGCGTTTGATAACAATTGTAGCATTCAGTTCAGTTTACATTTCAAAACTGAAGTCCCATTAACACTATTGCTTTGCAGTAGTGTGCACGCTACCACAATGTCTGGTAGTAACAAAGGCAACACAGGGCAATGCACTAAACCACTAACATGCAATGCAGTGCCCTGCAGTGTGCTGCCAGTAGTGCAAATATGCAATTTGGGGTGCTTGTAGATCTCAGATGACAGTTGGATGTGCAGAGACATTTGCATAATGCAAAAATAAACAATGAGTGTTCAGGTCTTTGGAGAAGTAAAGTGGGAGGAGAGTTGTTTGGTCAGATTCTGCTGCTATTCTCTGGGGTAGCTATAATGGTCAGAGCAGATCAGGCTTGCTATCTGTCATATGTCTGACATCTTAGACATGGGATCATTGACAATTCAGCCGCAAATTATCATTTCTATGGGCAGCTTAGCTCTTTAGTTTGGTTATCTTGTGCATGAGCAACCTTTAATCCATTTCTGGCACTTCACTTTCTTTCCTTTGGATTGATTTTACTGTTTAAAAATCAGATCTGCAACTGTTGCAGTTTGGTTCCTGCTGGCTTCTGTATTTTTACACTGTAGCTATGGGAAACATATAAAAGATGCAGGGTTCTCAGGGAGAATTACTCTCTAACCGTCCTGATCACCAATGTCACCATGAATGAAAGTAAGGGAAAATACACATTTTTGAGTTGCCACCAGAAAAGGAATAAAGGGGAAGCCTTTAAATGTTCTTGTGACAACTGTCAAATAGGAAGCTATTCCTTCAGTTCATGTTGAGTCTATGCAACAGGAAGCAAAGGAAAATCTCTTGAACAAGACACAGATGATAAGTATGGGGACAAAAACTTTGGGAGTATTTTGTAACATCCCACACAAATCTCAATAAACTCCTGCAAAGGGACTCAGAGTAGAGTTTCCATGCTTGTGTGGTACTTAGTAAGTTGAGCCAAATGGGCTGCCTGGTAGTATCTTAGGAGATTGGGGATATCCAAGCCACCATTTGCCCTGGTTTAAAAGTGGGGTCTGGGTTTTAGTTGTTTTCAAATAAATCGTAAAACTTAACTCTGGAGCATCCTCATGATGTGAGAAGGGAACAAAATAAATATAGCAGTTTTGAAAGATAATAGATCTGGATTGCAGCTATTTTACTCAACCAGGAGAGAGAATAGCTGCTCCAAGTCCATGGGAGATTTTTAAGGTTAGGCGGTGGATACTCTCTGGATAGCATGGTTCATGAAGTATGGAACATGAATTGGTGAGATATACTCCTATGTAACAGAGCTGGTTAGATTGCCATAGCTATTTGAAGGTTAGTTGTAGATTGTTTACCAGAGAAGTTGATAAGGGTGTGTTTAGGATATGTTTAGGGTAGACAAAAGATATTGCTGAACCGTGTGAAGAGGTCATTTAAATTAAGTAGGGAGATCAAAGGGTTAGTAATCATTGGCAAATAGGTTTAATTTATAATGGTAACCTGCAACTGCCACTCCTGTGTTATTTGGAGTTTCCCTGATGAGGTGAACTAGGAGCTTAATAGTCACTTTATACATTTTAAAGTGACACTAAACTCAGGAGTTAAATCTTAAAAATGCATTCAAGTACCCTAACTATTAACAAAAAACTTAGCTTATTTGTGTATCACTAGGCTTTAGATACTCAAATCATCTGAATTCATACTGACACCTTCCTTCCTTCTGGAGGGTGGCTACTGTAGTTCTCTATGGTCCCTGTGTGTGTTGTAAAGCAGCCACCGCTCCAAGCTGACACCCGTGATGGACTACAATCTCTATTTAGTTGACTAATTTATATTAAAATTGTAGTCCATCACGAGAGCAAGCTTGGAGTGGTTTAACTCCAAGTTTAGTTGCACTTTAAGGTTTATTTTTCAAATTTGGCACAATACTGGAAATGTAAAACAAGATACAACTGGGCTCATTTATTAAGTGAAAAAAACTAGAATTGGTGGTTTTGTTTGTAAAGTTCTGGAGTCTGAGTGAGTAAACAAGACCATTTTATTTGCAACTTTTTAAAACTAGCACTAGTATAAATTGTGGTTAAGCATTCTATAATCCTAAATGCTAATTCGATTACAGAATCAATTTTTCATAAAATGTCCCAAATAAATGGAAAAATGTTACCTTAATATATTTGTATACATTATTTTAATGTTTCATTCGTATAAACAAAATGTTAATATGCCAATATAAATTGGAACTAGATGGAATTCATTTAACTGTACCCAAGAATTAAATTGCTGCATAAACTTTGTAATTGATATGAAACCACTCTTGATTCAGAAAATTTCCTAATTTGGCTGTGGTCCCAATGTCTGGAATTCTGCATCCCAGCACATCTACTGATCCAGAAAATTATCTAGTTCAGCAAAGTCCATGTCCCGAGGGTGCTGAAATTGAAAAGTTCAACCTGTACTACATGAAAAAAGAGTACATTTAAATCATAATGAGTTGTTTCATGCATAAATTACATTTTTAGCTGAGTGATTTCATTATATATTATTGTCTACCCTACAATTTAAAATATGTAATTAGGGTTTAATTGTGCACAGAACCTAGAAGTACATTTTTTGTTCATGTGGGATGTAGTTTATACAAATCTAACTATTGTGCTGCATTACCAGGTGCTGTTCTTTTTTAACATGTTCCAAGTTAGCACTTTAAAAAATAGCCTTGTGTTAAGAAATGATTTGAAACCAGATGTTACTTTTTCTATGCAGCAGTCAACACATCT